TGTTGTGTTGTTACTATTGTTTTTATTGCAATTTTAGCTGATAATGGCACAGCCAGCACTATTGCCAACAAAGTGTCAGTGTCAAAGCCACTGTCAATTAGATTTTCACTCAAAGTGCCAAATAGAAGCGCCATCATCATCATCGGCGGCCACTCAACGGTTGCATTTCGTCGTGGCGAAAGTGACCAAGGGTTCGCATTTGCAACTACAAACAAACATACATACTCGTACATATGTAAATACATAAGTCAACTGAGTAACTGTTTGTATTCTATCAAGTAATGTTGTAATTCCTATAATCATCAGTGCTGATTATTAGCGCCGCTAAGCGAGCAAACGACAAGACGGAAGTCACTTCAGACGACAGCTTTTGTGAATTAATTATATTTTCAGCTCATTATATTTGAGAATAATACTCGCAAACGGCGTTGATTACTCTTTTAAATTAACAAAACAGCAACGAGAATAAATGTGTAGCATGCAATGGTCTAAAGTTTTGATTCTAAATTGAGAGGGGTGAAATAATGATTTAGACAAATGGCCGGAGCGTGAATTTTCGCTGCGAAATGAAATCTGAAAATTTGGCTATAAATCACTTTAATGAAGGCCGCGTAAAGGCAATCACTTAAGGCGCAAAAACCGGCAAAAGCATCTCAAATGACGAAAGAAAAGGAAGAAGTGCATACTCGATATATTTCATTTAGGTTTAAGTCTTTGTATGTAATTAAAGGTTGGAGGTTGGTATATCAGATGGGCGAAATCTGTCCATTGCCACGCCCACAAAATTTACAGCATACAAAACAAACATCAATGAAGTTAGCAGAATAAAACTTTGTACAAATAATGCTTTCAAGGTATTTCATCTAACGTCCGGAAATCCAACTATAACTTTTCAAGGACCCAGAGACTAAATATGTGGCTCCCAGTGCATATGTGAAGTCTAGCATTGAAATTCAGGGAGAATATTTTTGTGATGACAGCATGCCCTTAAGCCTAAAATGGCTAAAGTCGGGTCCATTTCACCCTAAGCGCCCTAATTTGAATATTTTCAAACTTTCGGTTGACTTTACACCGCATCTATCGGCCAATAATAGTCCATGCCGAATTTGGTGAAGATATGATTTCAAATAAAAAAGTTTTCCATACAAGAACTTGATTTTGATCGATCAGTTTGTATGGCAGCTATATGCTATAGAGATCCGATATCGGCGGTTCGGACAAATGAGCAGCTTCTTGAGGAGAAAAGGATGTGTGCAAAATTTCAGAACAATAACCCAAAACCTAAAGGAAAAATATGCAAAAGCAAAGTTTCAAGCGAATTGTGCTTTAAATTTGGTTAGGCATGATAAGATAAAAACAGGGGCAACGTCTTTTTTATTAAATTTCAATGCATTAATGTTTGAATAGGTAGCTGAGATATGCAACACAGCTGCATAAAAACATATTTTTAGAATAAAATCCCCTAAAAATTAACTTGTATTCAATATCCACCATATCCACCATATCAATCTACCTTCGCGCTCCATATTCAAATCCACTACAAATTCGCAATAGAGAACACAACAAAAAAATTGCAGAAGTCAGGTCGTTTTTAGTCAAAAACCAAAAATACATTCCCACCTATGCAGCAAGCAAACAAAACAAAAAACTCACAAATTCTATAGTGAAGCAAGCTGAAGAGTCATAAAATCGGGAATAAGTGCAAGCCGTTGGCGGGCTGCCTCCACAGGCAGCAACAATTTTAGCATACTATAAAAACCAAACGCACATACACACACCATACATATGAGCATGGTATATGCAATGCAGCAGAACGCCAATAGTATCATCAACAGCAACAATAAATGCGACGACTGCAGTGTCGAGTGTGTGTCAGCTCTTTGCCCGTTGCCAAAAATAAATAAAATTCACAGTTAAATTGGCAAAGGAGCTGCGCTGCGCGTTGAGTTGTGCTGCCAGCAGCATTTCACACACAACAACAAAATCGTATATATTTATATGTATAGCACACAATACTGCCACTTGAGTGAATGCAGCTAAGCAGATATATACATACATGTTGTTGTACATATGTAAATATATATAAATATATATATATAGATAAAGATATATATTTATGTATGTATATATACTGAGGTGCACAGGAGCAATATATTGTACGTCTTCAGCTCACCTTTTTGTTGTTGTTGCGCTTAAGCAGTGACACGCGAGTTTCCTACTGCCTGTCAGCATTTTATTTCGCATTTCGAACCGTAAAAAGTAAAAAGTAAAAAAAAAAAAACACACAACTAAAAAGAAGCAGCAGCGAACAGACAAAACACTTTCGTTGCTCCTGTTGCTTGCGGCGTGATGATATTCTCATTGCTCATCGTCGTTACCATTTCACGGCTTTTGTTTTATGCAATATTTTCGCATTTTACCTTTGGTCGTATTTTTATATTTTCTAATGTATTTTGTGCTTTTTGAGAAGGCACATCGCACTGCAAAAACACACAAGCACACAGTCATACACAAAGCCACACATTCACACACTTAGGCTCACACACGCTGAAAGGTGGCAGTCGGTGGTTTTATACACGAATTAGTTATTTGCTACTTTTTGCATTTTCATTTCACTCTCCTTTCATGAATTCATTGTTTTCATTTCACTTTATAGCAATCGCCGGTGAACGATGGCATTCATTTATAATTTGCTTTGTGATATGGGTATTTTTCGAAATCATGCTGATGATGCTGCTATTTTCAAGGCTTAATCGGGTAGTCTTAAATTTTGAGCGATTTGGAGGGCGTAGTCGCTGATATATGTGACCAACGAAATGATACATCTGCTTGCTTATAAATGTTAAGGCATTCAATCATTATTCTTTTAGCAAATGTGATTTACTTTTTTTGCGTATTTTTGTTTGAATTGCTAATACTTACGAGTATTTCTGTTTTGGCAAAAAAATCTTGCATGATGCAGAAGGCGGTGATTGTTGCACTCGACACTGAAAGTGCAAGTCTAGTGAAGCAATTTTCTTTGCTAATGTTTAAGCTTGATTCAAAATTTTTTTATTTTACATTTTTTTCTTTGCAAAAATTTTTTTATACTTTTTAAAATTTCTTAAAATGTTAAATATTTAAAAAAAAAAATTATTTACAAAAAAAAAAATTTCACAATATAACATTTAAAACTTTTATATAGCACACTACACCAATTTTGTATTAAATTTTTAGGCTCAACTGTGAATTTATGAATTAAAAAATTTTGCACCAAAAATTAGATTTCCAATTTTTGTTTGTAATTTTGAAAACTTTATTTTTATTCCAAAATTTTGAGAAAAATTTTGAATTGGAAATTTGATTAACAATAGCAAATGCATGAAGAGCCAATCTAATATATGTAAAATCTTAGATGTACCCAGAAGTACATAAAATGGAAGTAAATAAAGAGATAAAAGATAAGCTACACACACAGTACTTCTCCATATTCTGCACCAATTTCGGTGGTGCCTAAAAAACTAGATGCTTCAGCTGAAGAAAAATGGTTAATCGTTGTAGATTACCGCAAGTTAAATAATATTACTGTGAATGACAAGTACCACATTCCAAATATGGCGCAAGGATTCCACCAAATCGAAACGGATTCTAAAGATAGATAAAAAACAGCTTTTTGACATAATCGTTTTCAGTACATCTCTGCAGGAACACATCGAATCGCTCGATAAAGTGTTTCAAAGATTAACTGAAGCGAATCTAACAGTACAGTAGGACAAAAGTAAATTTTTAAAACGAGAATGCAATGGTTACATAATTTAAAAACTGCAACGGTGGAAGATTAGGTTGAATGAATACGATTTTGATATCAAATACATTTCAGGTAAATAAAATAATATTGCCGATGCGCTAACTCGCGTTAGAATTGAAGAATGTAACGTTAACGAAGAAACTACTTCGTATGTAGTCATAACGGCGACTTTGTTCAATTTCACAACATTTATAAAACTCTGATTACTTCAAACAGATTTAAAATTTACCGAACCATGAAGGAATTAGAATATATATAGAAGATTATTCTGGCTTCAAATCAAAAATATTTGATAAAAAGTATCAGCTTTAAATTAGTTAGAACCTAAGAAAACCTTACTAAAATTTTTTAATTTTATGGAACCTCCGAAGACATTAAAAATAGACCAGGAATAATTTATCAATATTATTAAGATAAAGCAGTGGTGTCAACCATTGAATATAGCAGTTGAAGTCACAACTGGGGTAACTGGTATTGGTGACACTGAGCGATTTCATAAAACAATGACTGAAAAATTGCGAATTATTTGTAGCTCTGGGAATAAAGAGTTGAAATACCTCAAAATTGAACAAGCATTCTTTATCTATAACCATATTATTTCTCATTCCACTACAGGTGAATATAATATATTTCTGAATAGAAAACAGCCAAAAACAAATTTACAATTAATTAGAAAACGAAGGATAAATAAGATAAATCAAAACCGACAAGATAACGAAATACTTGTATATACGAATTTTTTTAGCGCCGAAATCCCTAAGAAAAGGTATCAAGGTTTTAGTAAACCTTATAAAAAAAAGCACGACTTGTTCAAACCGAATCTGATGGGAAACATCATGTAGTAAAATTTTAATACAGTAAAGTAAGAAAATGCAAAAGCCAATTTAAAAGAAGAAAAAACTATGTTTAACTGATTTATGTTTATAATTTATAAATTTAAGTATTTTGTAAACAATACAAGTATAATCAAAATGATCTTCGGTAGAAGTTGTTATCGAGGGATGAGTTAGTTCTTCAGCAAACATTGAAATATTATGATGTGAATTAAGTATTAAATTGTTAATAAATGTAAATAAAATCGAAGAGTACAGCTTTAAAATTTTATTTGTATATGTGCGTACAAAATAGCATAACTTTTTTACTTTTTTTATGCCTATTTAGCATAATTATTTAATAAAAACCAAACATCGCGCTAGATTCACTTTCAGCTTACCTTTTTGTATAACAATTCCTAAACCAGCTACCAAAGCGGCGTCAAGAAGCAGAACAAACTTTTTAGCTATTTCAATTTTATAATTTGTTGCTATTGTTGTTATATGCGATTATTAATTCTCGAATCGTTATTATTAGTTTAATAATTTGTAACACTTTCCACTTTTCGAAAGATAATTTTGGGAGTTTGAAAATTTTGAATTCAGCACCCAAACATAAGCCAGAAAATTGTTAAAAATTCACAAATATTTAATTTTGACAAAAAACACCGTGAATAATTAAAATTTTTCTTTTTTGTTAATTTTTTCAAACAAGCAGTTTTACTTCCGCAAAACACTAGTTACCGGAACTTTGAGATTACTTAATTTTCACACTAAATAGACCGTAACGCACAACTCTCCGGTTGGCAACTCGATATTCGTCTGACCACTGATGTGTTGAATTGCCTACGAATCAGTTACAGTTACGCTAGTCGTCAATGGGACACATTTGTTTATTGCAAATCTATCATTTATTGCCAGCTTTATTTGACACGTCCAAACTAACCGAATATGAAATCGCAACTGAGCAAAATATAGCAAAGGCGAAACTTAAAAAATGTGACGAGACGCTGTGGAGCACAGTGGAGCTCTGCGGAGCACGTACAGCGGCGCGATTTGAGAGTCGACAGCGCATGGCTTGTGGGTGTGTGTGTGCGTGTTTATTCGCGGCGCGGCAAAACTTTGCCTACTGTCGTGCTTTTGCTTTGCCCTTAACATTGCATTTGCTCGATTGCTTTTGCCATTTGTATGTTTGTATTTATGTTATTGTTATTGCGCGAAAGTCATAGAAATTTTGCCGGCGACGTAGCGCTAGCGACGTAATGAGAGCAAAATGTCGATGCAAATGAAAAACTTTGAAACCGGCATAATGGTAGCGCTCTCTGGTTGTTTCAATGCTCTCGCTCTCTCGTCGTGATAAAAATGCCGGTTAACAGTCACATGCAAATTGGTTAGGTGAGTGAGTGTGTATGCGTGTTTGTTTGGTGTGCTGTGATGGCACATATTTGCAACAACGTGTGGGTGCTCAACAGGGTTCGCAGTAAGTAAGTTGCAGTGGACTTAGAGTATTTTTAATTATTATTATGGTATATTTTTATTTCAGGGAAATATTAGGTTAGGTTAGGCCCGTTATATAGCATGCTATAAAAATTTTAATTCTGTAATAAATCCAATAGTCATTTAATGGCTTAAAGGTACATACATTTGAATGTTGCAGAACAATACATAGCAACATTGTTGAGAACACTGGGCTAGGGTTAATAAAATAATGCATATAAACGTTATATTATATTATTCAACTTTTTAGACAAGTAAGTATGCACTGACCGTGGCGAAAAAAACACAAAGTAAGCTATTTAGGTCGTATTAAAGTTATCATCGTACATCATCACATAATGAATCAAGGTATGAGTACTGTCCGCAATTTACCACCTCGATACTCAATTACGCACCCAAACAATACGCTATAATGTAACCTAGCTATTTAGGTAGCCACTCCTAACAATTTAACCAACAAGTTTGAGAGCTTTTTTATGGTAGAAAACTTTAAAACAGATTCCCTCTCAACAATAGTCATCAACAGATTTCCCAGTGGCCAATGCCAACTTATTTTGGCCTTGAGTCTTTAGATTTGTACCTCCTCTTGACCTATGTTTTAGTACCTCAGTTCTATATAATCTTCATCTGTTTTGAACTCGACTTCCTACGAATTTATAGGTATAACTTACGCAGTTTCTTACTATAACCATATTGTTCTTACTCCCAACAACTTCAATCTGATTGCATGACCAACTGTTATTTCGCGGACGAGAATGTGGGCTGTTGTATTAAAACGACTGTTTTTATAAGATAACAATTAAAGTGAGAACTCAAGCAGAAATAAAAATTAAGTTTCGTTAAAATAAACATTGGCCAAATATATAAAATCTTAGAACGGGATTCTGATGTTTATAGTAAATAAACAAATCTTGACAAGTCGTCTACTATATACTTGTATGATATAAAAATAATTTTAAGAACTCGTGATGATACTTTATGCCACTTTAAACGAAAATATATCATCTTTCAAGGCAACAGAATCACATATTCTATTTCATTTGAAGAAATCTCTCGCTTATTGATGAAGTTACAAATATTTTAATAAAACTTACTACAAATGGTATGCTTAGTGAAGGCTACGGGTTCAATGAGCAAAGCAGGAGAAATACCTTCAGGTGTTAGCAAAACTTCATATTAACTAAATTAAGATATCTTAACGAAATTTGGCACACGTGTTCCTTGGCAAAAAAGTGAGGATGATTTCGAAAATGGCTGTAATCGGACGTTAAATACACATCTCCGGCACTACTTAACCAATTTCAACAAAATTAGGTACATAAATTTCTTTTAACATTCCCATGTTACATTGCGAAAATCGGAATCGGACTTCAACCACGCCTACTTCGTTTTTTCTTTTTTCAGAATATAAATCTAGCACCAATGAAGTCACCTTGCACTATGTGCCTCTAAGCTATGTCATCTCATGTCATGTCAAAATAGTCGAATTCGGACAATAATTTTTCAAGGCCCCTAATACCGCATATGTGGACCCCAATGCCTATGGCTAACTTTTTACTGAAAATAACAGTAAATCTGTGAGCTAACTTATTGATATTAGTAAAATAAAGAGCAATTATTTTTATGATAATAGTATACTGTTTGTTGCTTAAGTCTTCTTTATGAAGCAACACCAGCTAGCAACATAAGCAAGCAACATTCACTTTACCAAGCAACATGTTGTCGCTGGTTTTTGCAAACACCGGATGTGCATGCCTTCATATTTACACACACACTACTGCATTTGTTTATTGTTTTTGCACAAATTTGCTTTTGGCTTGCTGTGCAAAGCTTTTTCATACCGGAATTTTTTACGAATTTTTTTTTTCGAACTACATGCGCTAACGCTCACTACTGTTGTATGATATTGTATTAATAAGTTGATTTTTATCGTTTTTCATTTACATACATATACAACCTCTAAACACACACATCTATGCATATGTATGTACATTGGCATTTGATTCAATTAACGCCAGTTACGTACGTTTGTTTCATTCATAATTTCGCATTTCTATGGCATTTTTTACATATCATTCGTTGTTGTTGTTGTGACAACCATTAGAATTTTCATATTTAAGTACTACATGTATATACATAAGTGTGTATGTATATGTATATGGTTCTTATTTAATGCCATTTAATGCTGTCAAACCACGCCGGCAACCGTAAAAACAGCTACAACAACAATAGCGCCAGCGCCAGCAAACATGTCGAAATCAGGATACTCAGTGACAGACGCTGAGCTTGCTCGCCATTTAGTCGAGTTGGGTGAGATCATCATTTACCGATCGTCACTATATTATTTCTTACATATGCTGCTATTTGCTTCCATGAACACACATACACACATCCAGGCACTCACACGCAGTCATTTAGGTGTGGCTGTGTTGTTCTTTTCTATTTGTCACCGTCGAAATTTATGACAATTCATTAAGACTGCAATTGTTATTTGTCTCATTTCGTGTTTTATTTCTTCGGATTAGAGCAAAATAAATTTTTCAATGAAGTGAAATTGAAAAGCGGCATGCATAACATTTATAGAAGCACATAAAATTAATACGAGAATATTCACATGTAATGTTTGAGTCGTCAAGGTTGCAGGCAAATAAATTACTTGTTACAACCGTTAGTAATAGAGCGGGTTGTGCGGACTATGTGTGAGGGTGTGTAGAAGTTATTTGAGAAGTTAAATAGTTTTTCGATTATGATTCGGAATTTGTAAATCTAAATTGAGCTTTTGTCAAATTTCTACCAAAAATTATATTTTTAAAACCAAACAAAGAGAAAGAAAGATTGAAAAGTGCTTACTAGAGCCGTAGTAGTCAATTTATAGTATCCTTAACAATTTAACTTTTTTTTTTACTTTTACATATTGATACCACTCTTTGGTTATGTATTATGTGCTTAGATTCTATGAAAAAACGATATTTACAATTCAGTTACAAGTCATTTGACATAGATTTCAAACAAAAAATTATAAGGTTTAAGGGGTCTTTTCACATCACAAACTAAGTCACAATATATGTTTGTATATTTCTTTCTAATAATTTAGAAGCATTTCAGCAGCATTTCAAAGTCTCTTGAATAACTCTTTAATAAATAAAAGTAATTATTAAAGTAAATCATTAATTATTATTCTTTTCATTTTTGATATTTTAACTTTCGTTTCCATTGGTTTTCAACCTACCATGACTGCTTTGTTTTCAAAAATTATCTACCTTGGTCCAATAATATTTTCCACAAAATAAAGAATAAAAATATTAAAATTTCTAAAGTTTTCGTTTTTTACTAAATTTGTAATATTAATAAAATATAACTATAAAAAATATAACTAAATATGCATTTATTGTAATGGGAATGTTGAGTCTGGAATCCTATTCCAGGCAAAATCTAAATTTTAAACAATTTTCGCTAAGAGTGGCCTGTAATCTCAAACATTCGGCTATATTTTTACAAAAACAAATATTAATATTGTAAATACTCCAAATAAATCCATAAATGGTTCGGAAAGAGATTCTACATAGTAGAGTAATATAGTACGGGCATCGAAATAGGCGAATAACCACTGCCCATGAGTAAAAGCCGATTAGTTGCTTATTTTAATAATTTCAACCTATAACATAAGAAATTTGTTTATGAAAATCAAATTATGAGACACATCTACTGTGAAATTAAAAAAACTAGATTTTTATTTCGATAGGACATACCTTTAAAAATAACACATTAAAATTTTAAATCGATTTCTCAAATAGTTTTTAAGTTATAGCCTTCTACAGTGTAGCCGCTCAGTTCAATCAGCACAATTAGTTTATCTTTAAACGCGTTTTTCTCAAAACCACACTTTCAAATTTGCTTTAGTGATTACTCGGACACAAGCGACCAAATTACTATCAAATTTTTTCTAAATTTTCTGTATATAGTTCTCCGTACAGTTTTTGATTTGATAAAAAATCGAATTTTTGCAAAACATAACCAAACTTTTTGGTAAAATTCAACTTTTTTTTAAATTGTTTTGTAAATTTTTGATTTTTTCGACCGCAGGTCTAACTTTTAGAGAGAATTGTGTTTTTTTAGGTTTCACCCACAGATAAGACCGAAATTATTGCAGCAGTGGAGAACCTGTTTTTTAGCGTTGTCAAATCTAACTTGAAAAATATTTAATTTGTTTATTAAAAAATGTAACTGTGTGTTCTTAAAATATGTTTAAATATATAAATTTTAGAACAATTTTTACAGTATATATTTTAACTCCCATGAATCGCCTTTTTTAGGCTGTCACACTAGGTGTGCCCTTTATGTGGAAATGGGTATCACGCTTTACGGTATTTGTTATATTATATATATTTTTGTACTTGTTACTAATCTTTTTCTATTTAGTTTCTATTGCAATTGCTATTCTATTGTACTCAAATGCAATTTCTTAATTTTTTTTTTATTAAAAATATTTTATTTTCTATACTTGTAAGCCAAATTAATCGAATATTTCGTACTACAACGCTTTTAATGAAATTCTCTAAAT